TTGAACATCTATCTTGTGGACTGAATGAGGCATGTGATCATGTAATTAAAGACTATACCATAAATTCCCAGGGCGGGGTCTTCCAACCTTAATTGGAATGATTTTTAAATAGTTTTGTGTGTTTAATTTCCTAGGTGTTTAAAAAAAGCAAACTGAAAAAACAAATGTCATCATGTGGTATTATACTGAACCACATGGTTCATCAGCAGGATTGGAACCTTTAGATCCATCACACAGACCTTTGTCATGTGATCTAATGAAGTAACTGTTATAGATCTTCACTAGAAAGAGATGAAATGCACCCTTTACCAGTGAGTTTTTCACATATTTCCTGACAGCAGAGGAATGATGAAATTCAGGAATTGTGGATTCCATTCCAGGCTCTGAAGAAGAGTGTGCTCTAGTGGGCACAGACTCTTTTACCCATTTTCCCCAGGCTTGATCCCTTCTGCCCCATCCCCTCCAACCTGTCCCAGTTCTGTCTCTTTCCCCCATCCCTGATTCCTAGTCCCATTCCCATTCTCTTTGCCTATCTAGTCCCAATCTTCACTCCCCAGGCATTCAGGCACTCCAGCCCCTGCATCCCACCCAAACTCTTTATGCTCAGTCTCCTTGCCCAGCCAGTCACAGGTCTTCCCTCCTTACTCCTTGTCCAGTTTTGTCTCTCCCCACCTCACTACTGGCTACCAGTCCAAGTTTCCCTCCTTGGACTCCTTATCCAATCTGTCTTCCGGTCTCCTTCTCCCACTCTCTTTGCCCAGCCAGTCTCATTTCTCTCCTCACATCCCAGCTCCTTGTCAGATCCCTCTCTTCATTTCCCTGCCCCTCTTCTCCCCCCTCCATTGGTTCCTAGTCTCCTTAGCCAGTGAGTCCCAGTTTTTGCCCAGTTCCTCATTTGACCTCAGTGTTCTTTTCCCAATCAGTCACAGTTCCCCCCCACAAATCCCAGTCAGTTTCTCTCCCCCCTTCTCCAATCCCAGTCTCACTACGCTCCTCCCAATCTACTCTTTTCTCTTCCCTTCCCTCTCCCCCCAATGCCCATTCCTTCTGGATTCACATCAGATAGCACTCTTCCATGCTGCCTGGGTCCCAGTACTGGGATGTGGGCAGTGGCGTAGCCAGGTGGAGGGAAGAGGGGGAGTGGAAAAAAAAAAGGCACCACCCACTGCAGCGCTTTTATTGACGGGGCAGCGCTCCGGGTCTTCGGCGGCAACTTGGCGGCGGGACCTTCACTCACTCCGCAGGTCTTCAGTGGCATTTCGGCGATGAAGCTTCAGCGCCACCAAAGACGCCCAAAGCGAGTGAAGGTCCCGCCGCCGAAGACCTGGAGCGCCGCCCCATCAGTAAAAGGGCCGCAGCGGGTGGCGCCTTTTTTTCCCCCCACTCCCGGGAGAGTAAAATTAAAAAGGCGCCACTTGTGCTCGGTGGGGGAGCAGCCGCTCCTCCCCTAGCTACACTATTGGATGTGGGGGCGTGTCAAAGGAGAGAGAGAGAGAGAGAGAGAGAGAGACCCTGCTCTCATTTCTGTTGCCTAGCCGTGCTCCACTCCACCCGAGGAAAGCTAGGAAGAAGCAGTCTCTACAGCAAAACTCCCTGTGAGCCGGTTAGTCCAGGGCTAGAGCATGCTCTGGGAATGACACATGGGCAGCCTGGTCAGCACTGGGAGCTGTGAGAGGTTGGCACATGCTCAGCAAAGATGGACTCTGGAGATTTTTAATGTTAAGCTCTAGCTTAACTGAGTGTGTATAAACTACAATTTTTCATAGACTTATAAATTGGCCAAATGTGGATGGATTTTCACATCCCTGGTGCAAAGGTCACCTCTCCCCCGTGCCAAATTTCAAGTCCCTGTTCCAAAGCAGGAGGTGCTAGAGCTGTTATAAAAAGGTCTCAAGAATTTTTAAGATTGGGCAAAACATATTTTTCTCTAGCCTCATTCTCAGAACTGGACCATTTTGAAATGTAAAATATATAAGCCTGAGGCAGATGAAAGCCTTCAATTTTTTAAAAAAGTCTGTGATTTACATTAGTAATTCAAATTTTATTGACCGTGCTTGTCCTGGAAGAGAGTATGGATGACTGGACAATGACTAGGTTTATGACATCAAATATCAAGCAAGTGCAACCTGAATGAGGGATGAAATTCTTCCTATTCACACCCCTACTCCATATTTTTCACTTCTCCACGTAAGACTTCCAGGAAAACAGGAGAAACTAGACTTGATATTCTTAATATTTCTAAGGTAAAAAGTAAACAAAAAACAAAAAAAGGTTTCAAGCCTTCTTTATCCATTGTAAACAAGGGTAACACTTCCCCACCCCCTTTCTTTAAGTCCCTGTAAACTTTCCTACCCACTGATGTGTCATAGTTACTGGATTAGCCTCCCTACTCTGGAGTTATCCATCTGCCATGGAACTCAGTCTTCTGATTTACAAGGGTACGTCTTCACTACCCGCCATATCGGCGGGTAGCAATCGATTTATCCAGGATCGATATATCACGTCTTGTTAAGACGCGATATATCGATCCCCGAACGCACTCACCGTTGACTCCGGAACTCCACCAGAACGAGCGGCGGTAGCACAGTCGGCAGGGGAGCCGCAGCCGTCGATCCCGCGCTGTGTGGACCCCAGGTAATTCGATCCAAGACACTTCGACTTCAGCTACGCAAATAGCGTAGCTGAAGTTGCGTATCTTGGATCGTTTCTCTGCCCCCGCCACCCTCCCCCATGTAGACCAGCCCCAAGAGTAATTGAGCTCATGGCTTACTGGCTGGTTATCTGTGATTTTAGGACACGGTTTATTGTCAGCGTCTCCGCCTGTCACCAAAAGCAGGCGCTGGATGTTGTCTTCTCTAAATCAGGAGCTAATGGATGAGGTTGGTCTTTACTTTCTCTCAACCTTTCATCAGTTCATGCTGTTTCAGTATACTCTGCTGATGTAGAACTCTGTAAGCCCTGCCTAGACACAAGTGAGGACATCTCAATGACAGCTTTCGTTTCCCTAAAATAGGGGTCTGTGACTGGAAAAGCACTTCAAAGATATCAGTGAGATTATTTCTAATCCAAACTGGACCCTCCCTCTGGAATTCACTAGAGATTGCGTCATTTGCAGAAGAGATGGAAGTGTTTTATTTCAGGGTCTGGAACTCCTACTTTAAGATAGTATGTAACTGACATTTTCTCCCTCTCCTGAATACATTTGGGCTTTTATTTCTTGTTTGGAAGAAACACTGTTGTATAAAATAGCTTAAAAGACATTGTAAATTAATTTGCTATTTTCCAGTTGGTTTTTTATTTGAATGGATGTAATGGATGTTATACAATAAATTTAAAAAACAAACAAGCAAACAACCTATCCTCACCCTATACTTAGTGTTCTCTCAAGTGATCTGACTCATTCCACTGGCATGCCCACCACAGGGTCTGGAATTTATCCTCCTAGGTATCCTGAGAAAATAACCTGAACTACAATACCACCTTCCCATAGGAAATGGGGCCTGCAGGCAATGCATGCTGGGATTAACTTGCCCACCTACTATGTCAGTACTATGTACTAATTAATTATTATGCATTTCCATAAAGTATCATTTAGAAGGTAAGCTATCCAAATAATTACCAATCAATAAAGAAATTTTGCAAACATTTTCTGGGATCCACAGGATCTGCTCATGCCAGATTGGGCACTCTGTCCCATTGTTAAACTCCTTTCAGATACTTTGGTCCAAATCTGTGCTTATTTTCATTTGAGTGTCACCAATGACAATCAATGAGCATTCACTGGTGTAATTTAGGGCAGAAAGATGGGGGGCAGACCTTCGGCTAGTATAAATCATCGTGGCTCCACCAAAGTCAAAAGAGCTACTCCAATTTATACCAACTGAGGATCTCACCCTGAATGAAGCACTTAATCCATAAAGATTAGAAGAGACTCTGAACAAAAAGTAAAGAAATGTAAAACTATTTTGAACAGGCATGTAATTTTATTTCTGTTACTTTGTTTCCTGCGTTCAGCAATATCACTTGGCACTGGGAAGATCTTGCAAACTCATCTGTGTCAGGCTGGTGAGTACTTGGACTTTGAAAATGTAGGACTTACCTATACTGGGGATATTTGTATCAGCATAGCTGTGCTAGGGCAAACTCCCTGTATAGATGTGCTACTCTAATGTGATATGGGACTTGCACTGCTGCAGTTTATCCTGGATTTAAACTGGGTTAAGCCACACAAGTGCATCGACTCTGGGGGCTTGCACCAGTGTAGCTACATTGATAAAAATATTCCCAGTGCAAACTGGCGCTTAGATGAGTCAAGGAACAATTACATACGTAACAGGAAGGGATATTGGTGTTTGAGTAGGTAACCTCCTTCCCTTTGAGGCAGCCCTGATCCATTGCCCCAGCATGGTTCTATGGGGCACTGTGCTGTTTGAAGGTGCTGTCTTTTGGATGAAATGTAAATTTGAAGCCCTGATTATTTGTTGCCATTCAAAATTCTATGGCACTTTTTCCAAGACTTGGTGTTATCTGTGGTGTCCTGGCCAAATTTAATCACTAATGCTTACATTCCACCACCTTAAATTTGCACTGCAGTTGACAGCTGTGCTTCTTTGTCTTTCCTGTTATATGGTGTTGTGCACAGTTAAACACCTACTGTGTTCCACCAATGGCAGGCGAAAGAATTTTTTTATTACTTTACATTAGTAAAATATTTTTTGATCCTGTGGGAAATTTTGTTCTTCTTTAGCTCAGGATGACCTAGCTCTGATACAGTATTCTCCCCTTCGGTTTATGGGAAGGATTAATTAGCAGTGGCCTTTGAATTAGAAAGCAGCCCTTTCCAGTGTAGGTCATGCCATTTCTCTGTGATTTATAGCTACTGCACTGTTAGAACATAACTGTCAAACAGTCAGTTCACACATAACCTGGGACTATTTCTCCTACATAAGCAAAGTGAGCTAAAACTAGAACAGGAATTGAATCAAATCCAGGGTGCTTACCTTATCCCTCAATGCTATCACCATAAGATACCATTTCCGATTTTGAGGACCAGGAAAAGCTGAACCCTTCCACAAATGCCCTCCTGGAATTGGTTCTAATGAAAAAGAAAAACAATTTTCTCTATTACCATGATGTACCTGTCCTACTTTTATGCTGAAAAGATCACCTTGCAGCATCTTTCAGATGCACTGTACCAGAACATATATTTCTTTATTTTATTGTTGTATTGAGTGCCATACTTTACACTAGCAGATGTGTTCATCCACGGATGAGGTAATATCCAATTTCCAAGGACAAGACATTTTTCTTAATGACTGCACACTCACTAGTTTACTATAATTTTTTTTTATAAAAAATCAAATGCAAAAAACCTACATTAGTGCAACAAAATATGACAATTTGATATAAAAGACTAGGTTCTGACAACCTTACCTTGGCCATTGTGCATAGACTGTATGTATTGAGGTATATATTTAACAGCATAAAGAATTATCAAAAAAGTGTATGTAATATGGGTTAATTCCTGTTGAAGTGGGAACTTGATCTTTTAAATTCTTGAGTACTCTATCCTGTCTACTTTTAAATGACAAGAGCAATATTAAGACTTCCTTGTTAGGAAATTTATTCCAGATACCTATATATTTCCTTTCCTCAATAATAGAGGACATGGTACAAGACAAATTTCTTCATTCATTTTTCTTTTTTTGAACTTAGACTGAGGGTACTTATCAGTAGGTGGGGATGAGGTGAATTTTAGCATTTGTTTAGTATATGCACACAGATATATCATGAGATGATCTGATAGAAACTTAGGGCTTGTCTACACTGGCACTTTACAGCGCTGCAACTTTCTTGTTCAGAAAAAAAAAAAGGTGCCACAAGTACTCCTGTTCTTCTTTTTTCTTGTTCAGGGGTGTGAAAAAAACACCCTCCCTGAGCACTGCAAGTTTCAGCGCTGTAAAGTGCCAGTGTAGACAGTGCACCAGCGCTTGGAGCCGTGCTCCCAGCACCATAGCTATTCCCCTCGTGGGGATGGGTTTTTTTAGAGCACTGGGAGACCAGCACTTTAACATTGCTAGTGAAGACATGCTCTTATTCTTATTACTCCTAGTTATACTACTGTGGATAATCCTAAACAATTCCCCTCCCTTCTTAGTGTTTAATAATGCTTTGCCCTTCTCTAGCCTCATTCATCCAAGAATCTCAAAGCATTTACAAACATTAATTTAGCCTCACAAAACCCCTGTGAGTTGAGTATTATCTTCATTTTACTGGTGAAGAAACAGAGGCACTTAAGGTCTGATCCTGCACTCATTGAAGTAAATGATGGCATTCCTATTGACTTCAATGGGATTGAGCCCTGAGCATGTCTGTGGCAGAGACTAGAACTCAATTTTTTTTTTACAGTCTTTTGCCTTAACCACAAGAGCATCTTTACATCCTTCAAATGCCAGTACACACTTACATCTCTTAATTTCATTATTTTCATATTTTCTCTTCTCAGGGAAATTGTGTTCTGTGACTGGAGGAAGTGTAGAGGATGGTTTCCTCCCTCCTCCTGCTTCAGACTTACCTTGGACATAGTGCTTTAGTTGCTAATATTGTAAATTAATCATTCATATTTAAGGTGCCCACTAATGCTTGTACATAGAGGACCACATATCCATTATTGTTATAAAAAGGACCAATTTTTCTTTAGCTGGTGGTTATTCTACTCAGGACTGTTTGGGACTAATGTACTGTTAGTTCCAAGCAGTAACTCATATGACCTATAACTGGTCTTGAAGAATCAGTTAGGGGCATCACTGCAGGGAAGCAATTATTCTCTTGGCAATATAAGTTTGCCCCCTCAGTAAAAAGTTTGGATATTCCAAAGTAAATATCTTTCATGCTGCTTAGCTAAGTTTATTTGCTACTGCCTGCAACGTGTTGATTCTCCTAGAGGACCTTAGTTTATCCATCTTTTGTCTTCCCACTGGCAGTGCTAATGTGTCCTACTGGATGCAGTGCTGAAGGCCTCTTTATGTATATCATAGCTAATACTGAGAAAAGAAGGGTACTTATGTCACTACTGCCTAAAACCTTTGGAAGCTCTTTTTACCTGGACAGTTTTCTTCTTTAGGTTCTCTTTATTGAGCAATATTACTGTAGGGGTTCTGAATACAGATGACAAACTCATCTTAATAAGGGACTGTATTATACTGTGTATTTGTACAGCATATAACACAAAGGGGCCCTGGTGGGAGTGTGCACATCCTAAGACATTTTTAATTAGTTGCAATGTAATTCTGGTCACACCATCAGAAACTAATAAAAAATGAGTAAGTAACAAAAAAGGGCTAAGGTGTCAATTCAGAGTAATAGTCAGGAAGCCTTAATTTGTCAATTGTACATCAGCCTGAAATATGTCAAGGGTTCAACACACAGAGAAGCTGTTCAGAGAATCCATAAAGAACCCATCTTTTCTCTCTAGTACAACACTGAAGGTTTAAGTAAGATGAAACCCTAAACAGCAGCATTTGTCTTACCACTCCACCTCACCTCAGCTTTCCAGGACGGCTGCAGGTGTCAGCATTTCAGTGTGATTTTCAGGACTTGGACACAGGAAGAGGACTCCCTCCAGCTATCATTTTCTTAGTTCTGTAGTACAGCAGAGATTGGATAGGAACTCATTACGATATCAAATTTGGTTTGACACCCTCTTATGTACAGCTATCAGCTCCGACTTGGCAGTAAGGGACATTTAGGAGGGTCACCTTGAGATGAAGAACAAGTTGTCTCTGTGCTTGTCTGCAGGAAAGGACTTACACACAGGAGACTGCATCTGAGGGGTGGGGTAGGAGGTACATGGGAACCCCACTAGTCAGACAGGGAATGAGTCAAGTTTTAATTTCAGAAACTTAAAAAAAAAAGTCCTATTTTTATATTTTGAAGGGAAATTTAGAATTTTGCTTAAAGGGAAAGAGGATGAAAAATCTAGATCTAATCCTCCCCCAACCAATCACAGTTGCCATTTCCCTTCCAGGTACCATCATATATTTAGTACGTCAGTAAAAATGCAGCATGAACAGTTTTAGCACCTGGGCAGTAAATAAAATCTGATCTGCTAAAAAGGTTCAGTTAATTGTTTGAACCCAGTTCTGCGAATACAAAATATTAGTTTTTACTGAACTTGTCACATAGGAGGTCTTGGCATGTTGCAGGATTGGCTTTTTGTGAACACATGAATTCCATTTTAAATGTCTAAGTGAGTGTGTCTGTATATGTCTGTGTCACTGTCTGGCTCAGATTTGCAGGCAAATATGAAATCCCTGCCCTTGGTGGTTGTCTCCACAGTAGAAATGTTTGTCCATTATCAGTGCTGTCCTCCTGAATGGATATGGTTTGAAATTGCAGAGCAGTCTTCCTTCCTGAGGGGCTAAGGAAACTAACAGCATACTGAAAATTAATGACACACCACAACACTAGAACATTGGAGTACCAAGGTGACATGCTTAAGATAAATTCTGAGAAATTAAGTGTCAAGACCGGGCCCTGGAGCCCAGAAAGGCAACCACTGTGGAGAACAGCCCAAAGTAAACAATGCCTAATAATGTTTCCACAGCAGCCTGGAAGATGACTCGGAGCAGCAATGGGGGAAGCCTCAGCTCTTGCAGAGATTCCTCCAGAAGACAAGTAAGGGGCTCCAGAGCTTAAGTTTGCACTTACATTGAATTTAGAGTCAACTAGTATTGCCTTTGCAGGTTGTCCCATTTGGTGCATTGAAAATTGTGTTCAAAATGAAGGCTAAGATTTTGTCATGGTTATTTTTAGTAAAAGTCACGGACAGGTCACGGGGAAAAAACAAAAATTCACGGAAGCTGTGACCTGTCCGTGAGTTTTGCTGCTGCGGGCCCATGGTTTCCCCCGGGCTGGGAGCTGTGGGGTACCCCCTCTGTCTGCGGCAGCTGAAAGCTTCAGGGGCGCTCCCCTCCACCCATGGCGGCTGGGAGTTGCAGGTTGACCATATTTCCCAAAGAGAAAACGGGACACCTCCAGTTGCTTGCCCAAGGCGCCTACCCCCCACTCCATGAGGCTGTCACCCATCTCTGGAAGGGCCTGCTCAGGAGGCTGTCGCCTGTTGCTAGAGTCTTGCTACTAGCCCATGAGTGATGTTAATCAGCTTCAAACTGTTACTAACATGAACCTTCCCTGTATCTCAGTTTCCATCTCCTTCATTCTACTTTCCTTCCCATATTTCTGTACTAGACTGTTAGTGAAAGAAACACAAGTCTTTCCTATCTAAGCGAGGTCAGAAGCCTCATCTTTTTACATTTGTCCGTATGGGACCCTGGCCAGGGTTGGGGTCTCTGAACACTAACCCAATATACACTATTAAAAACTTTCTCAAGCCCTTTAAGGCTTCTGGTCATAACAGGCTGTGGGTGACCTGTCCACAAACCTTGACTACAGGAACAATCAATGCAAGAATGGTTTAAAGTGGAGGCTGCTTTCTGCATCTCCGGAGGGAAGGGTCCTACTCGTTCTCCACAAGGGAGAGCCAGTCCCGGGTTCACAGAACTTAGGTATTGGTGGGCTTAGGGTCCAGGCTTGGTGGGGCAGGGGAGGCCCCAGCTTTCTTGTCTGCAGCATTAACAGGGGCCTTGACTATTTTTGACCGCAAAGGTGAGGGTGGGGCCGAGGAAGCCCTGGATGACCGGGGAGGGGCTGGAGTGTGAGTCTGACCCACGCGGCTGTTCGAACGGCCTCTGTCATGGGGATCGCGCGCGCGCCCCCTCCTCGTTCACTTTGCCCAGTCCGTCTAGTTCTAACGAGTCAGCCCCGCCCTGAGGTGATATCCTCGGGGCGCACGCACAGACCCGCTCTCCGGCGTGAGCCGCGGCCGCCAGGGTGCCGCGGTGTCGTTTAGGCGCATGCGCAGCCCCCGTTTCTGCGGCCCCCTGGCTTGCGGCTTGCGGCACTGATTGGCTGCGGTCTTTCGCCTATAGGGAGCGCGCGCTAGCTCCTGGCGCCTCTCTGGGGAGCGTGGGCGGGGGGACCCCCGGGCCGCCAGTTTCCTTCCCCCGGGAACACCCAAGGGTGCCCGGCCCCGCCCGTCACAAGGAGGCTGAGCGAGGTGAGGAACCGTCTTGATTCCCGCTCCCTGGCCAGCTTCCCGCCCTTCCTGGGGTACTCACGCGGGGCCCCGCCCTGCCCCTCCCGCTGGGGGATGTGCCTGGCCCGCCCGGTTTGAATGGTGCCATTGACGACAATGGACGTTGCACTTACCCACCTAAATAGCATGGTGTTAGGTGCTTTAGAAATACAAATAAACCATAGGATAGATAAATAGATGCGTTACTTAATTTTTAGGATGAATTTTCAATTGTCTATATTGTGTTTCATGAGTAGTGTCCAAAGTAAAAGGTCATCAATAAGAACAAAGAAATGCCTCGCTCTGTCCTTGACAATATTTAATAGAAAGTAGAATGCACAGGAACTTTACCTCTGTATTGTAAAAACCATTGCTTTATCTAATAGTTTTAAATAGAAGAAGGGAGTGAATGGAAGGGGAATTGTCTGGCGGGTGGGGTGGAGGAGCAATTCCCCAGATATTCAGAGGGACCACAGGATGTCAGTCTTGATTTGCACACAGGAGGCCGTTTGTCAGAAAATTGTTCTATGTGATTCCGTTGCTGGAAGTAGTCTGGTGAATGGTGGTAGTGGAATGTGGGTATGATATTTTCTTAGCTAGCTAGGTTTGTGATGTGTGGGTAGACATGCCACATGGCATGTCAGTCAGTGCTTAAACTAGCATCAAGCTGGCAGCATTTTTCAGTCTGAGGAGTGGCCAGCATTTTGGTATTAAAATCAATATTTTGCTTTTTGAAACTTAACTATATTATGATGTCTACTTATTTTAACACATTTGGATCACTGTTAAATTTGCCCCCTATTATTGAGAATTTCACAAGCAAATGCTATTTCATGTCTGCCCTGTTATAGAACTGCATTATCTTAAGAAGAGCCACTAAAAATTGCGTGAGTAACCCATCCCAATTTGGTTTTGTACCCCAGGAACTGAAAATCCAAAGGCAGCAGCTCAACCAACTTAGTTAAAGGAGACTATGCACTAGCTATCATTAGTTTCTAGACTTCACATGTACTAGAGGGTGAGGCCGTCAGGCGCAGAGCAGGTTTGGCTGTCTTTTTGTCTCACGCCATTTGAAAGTACTATCACTGGTATCTGAGTTATCTGAATTTTGTAGTCTGACATTTATATAGTGGAATTTCATGAAGATGTTGTGTAGGTACTGTGACAGACCCAGACCAGTGGGGTACAGGAGTCTGGTCAAGGGCAAATATACTGGTCACTGGATGAGTAGTTTTCTGTTCCCTGAGTGACCAGAGCAGGGGCTACACTAGAGTAATCAGGAACCTGCTAGAACCAGTTAAGGCAGGTAGGCTAATTAGGACACCTGGAGCCAATTAAGAAGCTGCTAGAATCAATTAAGGCAGGGTAATCAGGGCACCTGGGTTTTAAAAAGGAGCTCACTTCAGTTTGTGGTGTGAGTGTGAGGAGCTGGGAGCAAGAGGTACAAGGAGCTGAGAGGGTGTGCTGCTGGAGGACTGAGGAACACAAGTGTTATCAGACACTGGGAGGAAGGTCCTGTGGTGAGAATAAGGAAGGTGTTTGGAGGAGGCCATGGGGAAGTAGCCCAGGGAGTTGTAGCTGTCATGCAGCTGTTACAGGAGGCTCTATAGACAGCTGCAGTCCGTAGGGCCTTGGGCTGGAACCTGGAGTAGAGGGTGGGCCTGGGTTCCCCCCAAACCTCCCAATTGACATGGACTGTGGGTTCTTCCAGAGGGGAAGGTCTCTGGGCTGTTCCCCAACCCACATGGTGAATCTCTGAGGCAAGAAAATCCGCCAATAAGCGCAGGACCCACCAAGATAAAGGAGGAACTTTGTCACAGTACAAACACATCTCTGATGAAAGTGTCAAGGGAAATGCATTTCTTGCCACTGCTGATGGAGCTGTCATAGTGAGTGAACATCCCCTTGTCTTTCATAAAATCAGTATGTGTATAGTCAGCAGAATTCAATGGGAAAGTGCCATCTTCTTCAGGACCATGAGTTAGTTTTGTGAGTTTTTTAATCTTGCGCTAAAATATAGCATGAGTTTACTACTACTCCAAAACAATAATTCAGAGCAGCTTTCAAATATTAATTAACACCGTTTGTAAAGCACTTTGACTTCTTTCAGGCTAAAAGGTTAAGCTGCTGTTTATAATTTAGTCCTTTCTTTTCTACAGATGCTGTCAATATGGTTGCCAGAGGTGATGGTTTGAGTCTACTTTACATTCAGTTTGTAAGTTCTTTAAGACATGGAATGTCTCAATTTGTATGTCTGGTATCTAGCAGATTCAGATAAATAAGAAAGCTGGTCAGAAAATGGGAAAATGTAAATATTTTTGTATAATATTTTTAATTGAAGTTTTCTAACTCCAACAAATAGTAATAAAGTTCATAGGAGATATCATAAAAGCATCTCTTGTTTTAGGGGAATTGTGGTTGCTTATACATCCCTCCATGTTCTGATGTGTGAATAAAATACCGCTTAATCCAGCTGTCACTGCACAGGTATCTTTATTATGAAGATGCACTTCACAGTGTAGTACAATCAATCTGCTGAGTCAGAATTACCCATCCATCAAGAGCAGTACATCTTAGAGGGGAGAACAGGAGCACTGAGTATTAATATGAAGAAACTGATGTAGTTCTTTGATAAAGCCTCACTTCCTGGATGGGTTTCCTCTCCCTGCCTTCTCTTTTTCACGCCAGTGTAAAAGGAGAGTAATACCAAGTCAGGGACTTCTAATTACCACTATAAGCTGAAAAAGATTACACAATGAAAACTAGCAAGTTAGAAGCAGGAGACTCTGCTGGAGCAAGAGGGTGTGTGTTGGTTTTTGTTTTTTTTAACAAATTCAAAAACCTAACTGAAGAACATAACTGTCTGGAAAAACCACAAATGATACAAAATTAAAATAAGCTTTTGCTGAATTCATCATAAGCTTTGTGGTTTGAAATAGTCTTGTATGCTTTACTTCCTGACTGCATTTTTCAACATCTCTCCTGAGACAGAAAGCTAGTTTTGAATTTGAGTTCTTTCATGATGTGTTGTAGTAACATCTGAAAAACAGGAGTTCATGCTAGTGTAATTTACCAAACCAGAAGATGATTAGTGAATAGGTAGCAGGGACTATCTTATGTACAGCAAGCAGTGCGATAGCCTAGACCAGATATTCTCAAATAATGTTCCGTGGACAAGCTGGGATCTGTAGAGGCCTTCCTGAGTCCACAGACGTAAACATTTTGAGAATCAGGTGTTGGAGGTTGGAAGAGGAAAGAGACCCCTGTGAGGTCTCTTTTATCTAGGGTCCTGTGGGGTGATAAAGTTGAAGCACTAGAACAAATGACCTGCTAGGATTTTCCTATCTGTAATATTTCTGGGCAATACAAGTATCCCATCAGGAATTTTAGAATTCTGAAAGTGACAAAGAGGAAAAAGAGAGGATTTATTTTAGCATTGGAGAGTTGATGTTAGTGTTTGTGCTCACTTCAGACCTGAGGGGTGGGGGATCAGTTTTGCATTTAGCTTTAATGTTTCTGTCCTAAAGGAGAATCTCTAGTGTTAATGGGGAAAATATTCCAATTTCCCCTGCATGGTTATTGGGGACAATAACACTTCAAAAATTCTGAGAAGGGAAATAGGTGAAACTGTGTAGCTAAATAGGGACATCTTTCTCCCCCATTAAATGACACTTAAAGATGAGCAGAGCTTTGGGTGTACATGGGTCTACCCGTTATTCATTTTTTTTCTTTTTTCCTTTCCTTCTTTTCAAATTCCAGCCCCAACACCACCTGAGACAGAAAGAGGAGAGAGAGAGAGAGAAAGAGAGGTTGGTCACAAAAAAGTGTGATGTTTAAACTTTTTTAAAAATAAAATGGCTATCATAAAGTGCATTGTACACTTTCAGATATATGTATGAACAACAATTTAAACTTAACATGATTCTTAGACTACTAAATCCAGACACTGTGTTACAAATTAGCCTTGTACTAATTAATGGTGCACATCAAACCACTGCTGTGGTTCTCCTACACAAACAACTTTCAGTGAATTTAAAAGGGAATGCTCCAGTAGGATCATTCCATTATCCTTACAAATTGTTTAAGCCTGTGAGGGGCAGGAGAGCCTTCAATGCCTTTTAACTTGAATGGGAGTCCAAAAAAGGCACTTTGCAGGAATACGATTTAAATGCAGTGATTTAAAAAAAAAATCTTATTGATTGACCCATAAACTGTGGATTTTCATAAATGGCTCTTCATGGACCAGTTTTCTATCTACCCAGCTATTATTCATCATTATTTTACCGAATGCTAACTAAATATTTTCCTTAAGTCATTTTGATTCATACCTGGAATTGCTGATGAACTAAGGTTTAGAGTTTTACTGAGGTGCTGGAGGAGGTAAAAGAATTAAGAGACAGTGAGACACACCGTAGAAGCTGAACTGCAAAATTAAGACATGACACTAATTAAAGCTTAAAAAGAGGATGGGGGAAGAGAGAGAGAGAATTTTACAGTGGTCATTTTCTCCCGCACAATCATGGGGAGACTTAATATGCCCAAGACAGACTCCAAGAAAAAGAGGACTTAAAATTTCAATTACTATATTTTTTTCCATATTTAACAGGGAGTACTCCTCTTATATGCCTCCAAACATTTAACTCGGTCATGTGCATTCATTTTCAAATGTTCTGTCACTAAAATGCTTTCTACTGCAACTACCTGTGAAGAGAGTGACCTTCTCTCTAGCGGCCATATACCACCTTTTTCTTCTTGGGCCATATTATTATTAGTTTTAAAAAGAACACTGTAATTACTTTCTCCATTGAGATGAACTACAGTTACTCTTGTTGCTATTGTATTCAGATTACCAAGTTTTTGTCCTTATATTGGAACATAATTACACCATATTTTTTCTAGCTCTTTTGTTTGTACACAACAATTTTGAATGATGTAATACCATTTGGATTGGAAGAAGTCAGTCTCCTTGTACAGAAGGCACATCTCCACCAATAGCTATTCTACACGCGTCTTTGTTGGCAGTTCTGTTTCTGAAGTTGATTTGTATGCAAAGCATCATGCATGCTCATAGTACTTTATAACTCTTATTATGGTTTTTCTAACAATATTTAGCCTAAAATGTTCCCTTTTGCAGTGTAAGCGTTTGTCTGACTTCAGCTAGTCGTGAAAATAAGTGATCAATATCCTCTTTTATAATTGCTTGTAAAGTAACAGGCCTTATATTTACATATTTTTGACAGCTATCGTATCTCATCACTTTTGAGTCTCAGGAATTTCAGTTTTGAAATGTAGAATATTGTCTATAGCAGCGGTTCTCAAACTGTGGGTCGTGACCCTGTTTTAATGGGGTTGCTAGGGCTGATGTTAGACTTGCTGGGGACCGGGGCCGAAGCCCGAGCCCCACCGCCTGGGGCCAAAGCCCAAGGGCGTCAGCGCTGGGCGGTGGAGCTCAGGCTTTGGCTTCAGCCCTGGGCTTCGGCTTTGGTCCCCTGCCCAGGGTGGTGGGGCTCAGGCTTCAGCTTTGGCGCCCCCCTGCAGGGCTCGGGCGGGCTCAGGCTTTGGTCCCCCTTCCTGGGGTTATCTAGTTATTTTTGTTGTCAGAAGTTGGTTGCGGTGCAATGAAGTTTGAGAACCCCTGGTCTATGGGACAGTGCTGTTGTCCACAGCATACTGTTTATTAATTCAGATTGTGACATTCATTCCAATGTCCAGGGGCGCTCCAGGTGCCAGCGCAGCAAGTGCGTGCCTGGGGGACGGCCTGCCGGTGGCTGTGAGGACGGCAGTCAGGTTTCGGTGGCAATTCGGTGGCGGGTACACCGAAGTCGCGGGACTGGCAGATCACCTGCATAAATGCTGCCGAATCCACGTGACCATCCGCAGGGATGCCGCCAAAGGCCGCCTGACTGCCGTGCTTGGGGCAGCAAAAAAAAACAGAGCCGCCCCTGCCAATGTCTTATGTCTTCTTCTGGAATATTAACAACTATGGGAGCTTAATAGCTTCCTGTCGTCTTGTCCTATAGTACCTAACATATAACACAGTTCTACCACAGAATTCTACCATATTTTCACCTGTTCCTATGGAGACATTCACTTATTCAATGAACTTTAGCTTCTGCCCCCCCCCCCCCCCCGACTATCAACAATTTTTGCTTAAAGGGAAGCTATGATTTTTGGAGAAATTAATTATCCATTCATTTAAAGGAGAATATTGTCTACAGAAATCTGGTTACCTCTAACATCCAATCTGCACTCTATTTCAGCTTCACCACATTCATTCACAGCTTTACAGGTGTAAAAGCCTCCATCAAAGGGACTGGGCTTTCGGATCTCCAGGGTCAATACCCCGTGCTTACTGAACATACGATACTTGGCATCTCCAGAGAGATCCACTTTGTTCTTGTACCAGAATATCTTTGGCTGAAGAACATAAAAACAAAAGTTAGGAAGTTGTAGATTTATGGCTGCCTGTGCAACCTTAATAGAGCCCCGTTGGGTGCATTATGATACTATTTTTAATTACATGATTACATACTGTTGTTTTCATGGGACCCCGACTCATTCACTACATAAGATGGACAATGCTCAGAAAATAGATAACGTAGCTATTCAATATTTCTTTTTATCTTCATTCAGTGTGTAGCTCTGTATCTTGTTTACTGCACACTATCCAAACCCTGCACTGACTACAGAATTATTAATTTCCTCATGGGCTTTTTTTGGGTGCTCATCCCCATAACATCTGAGTGCTTTACAAACATGAATGGATTTATCCGCACAGCATGCCTGCGAGATGATATGGTGGTACACCCCTACCCCGATATAACGCTGTCCTCGGGAGCCAAAAAATCTTACCGTGTTGTAGGTAAACCGTGTTATATCGAACTTGCTTTGATTCGCCGGAGCACGCAGCCCCGCCCCCCCATAGCGCTGCTTTACTGCGTTATATCTGAATTTGTGTTGTGTTGGGTCGAATTATATCGGGGTAGAGGTGTATTAGTTCCATTTACAGATGGGGAACTGAGTCACAGAGATATTTTAGACCAAAATTGTAAGGTCTGCTAATTTTGCCTAACTTGAGAGATCTAGGGACTGGGTTTTTTTTTCAGCATAATTAGCACTTCGTATCATGTTAAAGCACAGCTCCAATTGACTTCAGTTTAAAGTGATCAGCACTTATGCAAATCAAGCCCCTGGTATCTCAAGTTGGGCATCCAGAAAAGGAGGAACACACAAACTATGAAACTAGTGGGTAACTATGGAGGGTAGGTGAAAGGGTAGAATTCAGCTCTCCGTCATGGTATTCAGGTATTTTAACTACAAGATCATCCTCCTGAAGTTGCTGCCTCGTTTACTATACCCCTTCCAATTTCCTGCAGAAAACAGACTTGTTTACTACAAAACCCTGAGCACCATCCATCTTGTGCACTGAATGAGGCAGAGGTCTTGTAGGAAAAAAGTATGTGATCACGTAATTAAAGGCTGTAAAAATGTATAAACATAAGAGTGCTGAATTAAGGTTGCGTAGTCAGTTTGAGTTCTGACATTTCCTAGTTTTGGGTTGAATCTTTACAATCTTTACACCATAGTTTATCTTGCATGTAATTTCCTAGGTTTTTAAAAAAGCAAATGGAAAAAAACAAGCTCCATCTGGAACCATATTAATCCATATGTGGTTTACCACTAGGATTCCACTTTTAAATCCTCACCACAGATCTCTACCATTTGAGGTATCTCAGTTCCTGGTAGACTGTGGGTCAGTCACTAGGGGTGGGGATGAGATACAGATTTTATCAGTGAGTTTGCCAGCTGTTTGCTGAGGACAGAAGAATGTTGGGACTTGGGAATCCTGAGTTCAGTTTTGGGTTCTGTAGGGGAGTGTTCTGTGGCTGTTACAGATTCTTTTGTCCCTGTTTCCTTCTACTTGTCTCCCCTACCATCTCCCCTGCTTCTGTCCCCCTCTGCTCAAATCCCCCAAGTCTGTCCCTGTCCACTTCTACTCCTATCCCTCAGCCTGTTCCTCCTCCTTCCACCCTGCATATCACCCCTCTACTTCCTTCTTCTCTTTCATGCTGCCTGGGTGCCAGGAGGGGAAGCACTGTGTGTACAGGAGGGAAAGTCTCTGTCAGTTGTAGTGCATGGTATTGATAGCTGCATATATGCAGCTAATCAGGTATGTTTGTGTCTGATTGCAGTGTGGGACTAAAGAAGGTCTTCTATTTTTGCAACCAAGATGGTGGAATAAAAATTTAAATGAAAATAATGTTTCTTGCACTGTGACCCGTGTTTACCCTCTGTCTCTAAACCTAGTGGAATCTTTAATGCAGCACTAGGATTAAACAGTAAGAACCAAACCTTTGTGGCATCTGTTTTGTTTTTAAAATTAGCAGCCTTGGGCCTCAGTGTCCTCATCTGTAAAATTAGAGTAATGATACTGATCTCCATTGTAAAGAGCTTTGAGATCTACTGATGAAAGGTATTATTATTACTATTTTGTTATTGTATGTCTTTGGCCTTGTCTGCTTGACGAGTCTTGTGCATCCATACTAGTCATGCTGAATTATATTAATGACACCTGCAGTTTTACTGTTCTTGAACAACTTTGTCCACCCTTATATTTTTGTCAATAGCTGTCTTGCTCTTTCTGGAATTCCACCTCAAGTCACAGTGCTATCTGGGCATGAATATTGGCTTCTGCCTAGTGGCAGCATGTTCATGGAATGCACTTTATACCTGAGACATCTTTAATAGTATAGAGTTATCCAAAATGTCAAAGTTCTATCACCAGGAAGTGTTGCCTCTGAAAAAGATGCAGAACAGCAGTACGGTGTTTATGGAGCCATTTGTATGTGTTGTCTGGCAAGCACACAATTAGCATTGCAGGTGCAGAAAGGTGTCTTAGAGAAGCCACTTTGGAGTGACTGTTTGCACTGTGGGATGACAGGATGAGCAAGGGTTTGCATCAATTGTGCTTACTTGGGAGGGAGAATCATCCAAACTGGGATTCAAATGACTGACTCATTTAACAACCACAAAAAGCATAATCTGAGGTGTTAGTGAAAATCAATGGTAACTGAAACAGTTGTGTATTGGATACAAGATGAGTTTTAGTTGATAGAGGAGGAACAATTATTATTTAGCATGGTAAATTTCTTAAGTGTGTATAAGGCCCTTTTCCCCCCCCCGTTCAGCCTGCTTTCAGAGATTGAATCTAATCTTAGACTGTGGTTGATATTCTTTCTGATGCTTTTTCCTAATATCCATATCAATACGGTACGAAGTATAGTTCACCCTGAATAGAGCTCAGCAAATAATTGAGAGTGAAGAAAGTGTCCCCTGCCTGAGATGTGTTGTTTTTTTGTTTTGTTTTTTGTTTTTTTTAAATGCTGTCCCCTTGCGCATACAAATTACAGCAGGGTATTTTACTACTTGATCACACAATATGCATTCAGAAACACACAAAGTTACATAGGTGCACTGTAGGTAATAGAAAAAGATGTATTTCCTTTGCATTCTATTAAGTGAATAGTATGTTGCGTTGTCCTTTTGTGGGCTGAAAGATCCAATTATAATATATACATGGAAGGAGCCAGAATTAACATTGCTATGCCAACTGTAATTTTCAACTTCCTGACTTGGGCATTTAAAAACTTAGGTTTCATGCTGTATCACTGTATTGCTTTTGTTGGTGGTTGGGTTTTTCACAGGAACACTATTTACCTCTAGGGTGTGGACGGATAGTATGGATTGGGATTGGTGTCCTATAATGTAGATCAGTAATTAGAACAGTGTAATTACATGAAGCTGGCATGGATTTTAGGGTAGTTATAGTAGGCTTTTGACTTGTCACAATTATGTAGATTGAAAACTAGTGTAATCTGTACCTTAGGGCTTCCTCTTACAGCACAGCTGAGCGTAGCATTGTATCCAGAGATCACAGAACGGCTTACTAAGGGGTGAGTGAATTTGGGGGCTTCAGAGAAGTCATGCTCTTTGTAACTGGGTGGTTTATAAATGGCGCCTGCAATTCAAACACAGTAATCTAGTAAGAATTTTGTCTTAAATCTTGCCTAGTCAATACAATCTACTTGTAATTTTATTTTATCTATGCTGTTTTAGGAAAACAGTAGTGTTAAAACATCAGTTGCAAACATTTGTGATCTAATGAGGTATTTTTTCCTAAAAGCCCTAGCTCCTGGAGTCCTAGGATTATGTGAGACTTTGTTTTCATTTAAAAAATAAGTTTCTAGCCTTAATGGTTGCATGGAAAAGCTTGAAAGCATGAACTCTAAAGATTCAAAACCCAGAAGATAAGAACCCCAAAATTCGTTTAATGACTTCTGGGGGCCTGACTCACGATTCTTGTGGCTGAAAATAAAGAAATATCAGTCTAATTTATAAAGAGTCTAAAAGATTAGAAGCTGTAAGTGCCCAGTATTAAGTAATGAAAAAGTCTCTGCTCCTATGCCAGTAATTCTGTACTCTCCTGTCTATAATGCATTACTCAACTTGCTAACTGGCTTATCCATGAGTCATCTTTTGTGACCTTTGTTTTGAAGAATGTGTGTTACCTGTCTTTTGTATGTAGGCAGGAGTTTTAGTTGTTGCAGCAGTTTCACTCAGTCCACACAAATTTTCACTGAAGACCCGGAAATAATACTCATTCCCCATAATCAGGTCTGACACTACACAGTTGGTGCGTCGATAGTGGTCAAAAACAGTGTACCATTCCTATAATGAGATTGTACATTAGTTTACTTTTTCTAACATCTTGAAAAAGGTTTAAAGGGTCAGAGATGGTGCTAGTTGTGGTATGCAGATCTTCCTTGTCAGTATTAGTGAAGAAGACCGCCTACCAAGCAGCAATGATTTTGGGAGTGGATAACAATTCCTGATAGAGTAAGTGATAGCACACAGATTCCTTTAAGGGAAATTAAAACCTTACCTATTTTCTTTCTTTTGATCTTCATTCTGGCACAAAATTGTATATGTACTTGCATAAAACACACAAGTTTCTATCCCTTATGCTTATTGCATATAAAACTTTGTAAACTATTGTAGGTCTGTCTTCCTAAGTCTTCAGAGACCGCTTTAGTGCCCATAATCACATGAAATCAACATGACTACTCAATTTCAACATGTCTGTTCATAACAAGATCAAAATCATGTCAATTGACACAAGCCCTGAAAGTGAATATGTAATTTCTGATTCAGCATTCTACTTCCATGCTCTACCTGGCCCTATTCATCCCGCCCAATTTCAGTGACTTTAGAAATTATTGGCAAGCCTCAGTGTCTCTCACCATTGTCTTTTTGTCAGCCTTCTGGATTGTGTACCCTGAGATCTGCGCATTGCCATCATCTTGGGGTGGTTTCCACTCCAGAGCGACATTGAATCCCCACACATCTATGATTTTCACATTCTGAGGTGGACCAGGTTTGTCTATAGAGGAAACAAGTCAGACAAACTCAGTTCTTGTTTCAGGATCTTTGATCTTCAGCATTTCCTTCCAAGCAGGAAAAAAATTGTTACTAAGTTGTGTAATTATCCCAATTATCCTTGTTGAAGAAACCAGTGTTCTACTTGAATGTTGCCAAGTCTCTAACCTCCTGTCTCTGGGAACATCAGTGAAAAGGCAGTGACAGGCCAACTCTAGCATCCAAAATCCTTAAACTCCTTGGATCCATAGAATGGGTCCACACATTTCTTTCAGAGGCTAAGGGTGGGTGACTTCTTTTTCTCTCAGCTGACTCCCACAAGACTGAGTTTGTCACTGCTCTTTTACACAGTCTATATAAAACTGGTGAAACATTGTGATATAATGGCTACAGTGTTATCAGTTTGCAGACAGCACTTAGATCTATTTCTTACCTTCAGAAGTATTCAGTCGTATCCATGCTGTCCCAATGTCAGCCAGAGAGTGTGATTTGGATGGGTTTAACTCACTCCAAATAAGATTGAGTTGATGTGGATTGGCAGAGAGAAACATTTTGAGAACCTTTAACCTGTCTCTTGATTGAGGGTGTCTGCCCACATACTGTTAAACTGGTTCATTCTCTTGGGTCTTATTAGATTCATCACTGCACCAGACTACCAGCTTTTATCAGTGATAGCAAATACTTTTTCATCCATGGCTGATCAAGAGGATAAGTACTTTAATATGCTTTCTTCACCATGTTTCTGTGCCTTGTTTATACCTCTAGGTTAGATGAGTGCAATGCACTCTTTAGAGCTAGCAAAGAAGTTTTGACTAGTACAAAATGAGGTTCTCCACCTTCTGGCTAGAGGTGGGCTACCATGAGCATGCTACACCTGTGCGTTTCTCTCTTCCATAGTGGACAGTCACTTCTGGGTGAAATTCAAGATGCTGATTTTCTACAAACCCCTTTATGGCCCAGGTTCTTGTTATCTTAGAGAGCCCCATTTCCTCTTAGCTAAAATGATACAGATGGCAATCTTTCACAAGGATGAAGTTTGCAGGAGCTGGAAGCCAGTAGGGGACGGCTTTGTCTCTGGAATTTGCTCCTGTTGGAAATACTTTAAAGCCCAAACCTGTCCACTTTTAAAATGTGCAGAATGGCATCAGGCTTTTCCACTATCATGTCCACCCTCAGACCCCCCATGATATAATCAGGTGCCTCATGAAGGACTAAAACACAGTCACACCTTAGACTGGATCATCTGTCTAGATGTGGACAAAGGAAATTGAAGGATTGACCTTTATTTTGGGCAGTCCACTATAACCTTCTTCAAATTGATATAAAAACTCAGGTATAATGCAGGAAGAAGGTTTTATAAGTAGTCTGCCCCTGTTCTATAAACTCATAGTCCCAGATAATTTCTGAAGCATCCTCAGTGAAATCCATACCCAACTGAAGAACCAAGAACTGGAAGATCTGGTGAGACTTTGACCTTGTACACTGGCTTCTGCTGTTGACCACGCTGATACCTAAAAGCACCCTTGCATTCATCCTAGCAGATCACTGTTGGTTTCTGATAAGATGGAGCAGTAGGAAAGGAAACAAATGACACTGATAGAAAACTGGCAGTTAAACTCCAGCACAAGATTTTTCCCTACTGTAGCTAATATATCATCAACTTTACAAGTAATACCCTGTAAAATTTTCCAGATTGTGAGCCACCTTGTTAATGCAAACTGCTTCCTCATATCTCAGCAACAAGCACCTTTCAATGAGCTGTCAACATTATATGATCAGGACACCAGCAGCTATTCATGAGCCTTAAAACACCTTTCCCCTTCCAATGAATTTAGCTCATTCACATAGCAAGAAATTATAGGACTGCTGGAAGAAATCTGATTCACTACTGACAATTGATCTATGCCCATCAAGGGCTAGTTAAAGACATGTGTGGATTCTTACAGAGATTGTCAACTCCACACCACCTTTGATGAGAGCAAGTTACCATCCACCTTAAAGCATACCACAGTCTGGTCTATTTATATTTAACTTAGATTTCACAAACTACTGCTTGTTGATTGACCTCTCATTTTTTGAGCAAATTAACTTAGGTGTGTTTTGGAGGCAGCCTGCAGCTAGTTTCTATCACCAATATCCTGCATCCCTCCAACCTGGGTTTAAGGCCAAGTCAGAACCAAGGTAGCACTGAAGGATCATCACCTCCTGCCTGTAAACTGCAGGAAGTTCTTGCTCTTATTTCTGGATCTGTCTGTGGCATTTCTATATAGATCATTCTATTGTCCAGGGGTGCTGGAACAATTTTTATAGTGGGGGTGCTGAGAGCCATTGGATCAAACTGTAAATCCTGTATATAATGGAAACCATTTCAAGCCAGGGGATTGCACCCCTAGTTCCAGCACCTATGCTACTGTCCTGCCTAAGTGACGGCAGGAATCCATTGTAAAGTGCTGAAATGGCTCCATTTCTTCCTTTCAAGACAACAGAGTGCGGTGATGGAAAACTGCTCTTTTATCTCTGGAGCACTCAGGAAGTCCCATAAAGATTGATTCTCTCCTCCATCCTTAACCTAAACACAGAGTTGTTAAGGGAAATTATGATACATTGTTTTAAATGCCAGCAATATGCAGACAATCCCCAATTTTAAGTTTTCATTTTCCTTTTGACACAAATGGAATGCTTTTCTAGCCCCCTCACTGCCCGGCTGAACAAGAGATGAGAATTCTGTACTACCATGAATAGAAAAGAATCACAAAGCACTGAGTCAAGAGTTATTTATATTTGGAGCTTTCAAATGGATCCAACTGTTGTTTATTGGTAACACTTCTACACCCTCAAGAGCAGTGTGAAGTGATGATTTGGAGTGCACATTCCAGACAGAGTAGAAAATACATCTAAATGAATTTAACTAAAAAGGCTCCTGGAATTTTGGGGAAATGATTGGTAAAAGTACAGAACTGTATTTCCATTTTAGTTTCTACGCTCTGTAAAATATAGATACTTCTGCTATCTCACAGGGTATCATGAAAGATTTATTCAGTGTTTGTGATGTGTTCAGCTACTACAGAGGTTCTGACTTTCATTTTTATAGTCATCTCAAAAATCAGTTTGAGGGGAGAAGTTGCAACTAATCATGTAATGGATAAAGATTACAACTCTGTGTAATGAATACAAATACCTAGGGCAAAAAATTAGGGCAAAAAATTGACAAAGCCAGAATTAAGATGAATTGGGGCTAAGTGAAACAAGACAATACTGTGGAACACTGTTTTGTGTAATTGAAGTCTGTAAGGGATGATATTCTACAGAATAGTGATAAGTCCAACCCTTAAACCAACCTTAGTGGATTGCTAGCTATGCTGTGGCTTTCTGTGCCAAAGCATAGTATACCAACTCACTTCACAGGCATACGTGAGCCACCAGGGCTATGCTGAAATAAGGCAAAAACAATTACAGCCAGCTATTTCCAGCTGCTAATCTTTGGAGCTGAGTTGCAGATTGGATGAAGGCATTGCTCTTTCCCTCTTGCTTGTTCTCCATCCTCACTCACACCTGCAGTTCAGAGTAAAAGCCTTCCGCCTCCACATCTATCAGTGATTGCCTTAATTCTTTTTCTTTCTTTCTGAAGTACAGAACATAGAAACAGCGAGAGCAGCAGCACTGCCCATCAGAATGTGGAAATGTGTCATATTGGATTGGAAGTTTTAATCTTGCAATCTGCTATACCAAGAAAAATGTCAGCCTGTCATTTCTATATTGAATAACACCTCCATACTTATTTGAATATAACAATTCTACACCATATGCCTATGTATCTGCCTGTATGTAAAACCTCTATAGCAGGGTTTTTCAAACAGGGGTCGCCGCTTGTGTAGGGAAAGCCCCTGGCGGGCCAGGCCAGTTTGTTTACCTGCCCCGTCCGCAGGTCCATCTGATCGCGGCTCCTACTGGCCACGGATCGCTGCTCTGGGCCAATGGGAGCTGCTGGAAGCGGTGCGGGCTGAGGGACTTGCTGGGGCTTTCCCTACACAAGCGGCGACCCCTGTTTTGAGAAACCCTGCTCTACAGCAACCCCACTACTTGTGAATCTACCAGTACCTAACAATATTGGACCAGATGACTGTTATATTTTTTAGAACACAATGAATAATTTCTAATCTGTATATACACAAATTAATAAATTCTAAACAATTTCTCTTTTGTTTCTATCTTGACACCAAGGGCTGGTGTTAATAGCAGGAAGTGTGTGTGATGCTGGCAGACCAGGTGCCAGCTCATGCCAAGGACGTTAGGCCCCAACTGAACACTGATGAATGCATAGCTGGAAACCACTCTGGCTCATCTGTGTGTTAGTATTATTAAAATAGTATTAGATTTATAAAAATGTCTAGACTTTATGAAATGATTGTAGGATGCCCCATGTATTTATCTCACTTAGAGATTTACAATGCATACCTTAAGATTATATTAACTATGGCCTGGTCTACACTACAGAGCTAGGTCAATGCAAAGCCGCTTTTGTTGGCCTAATTTTGTAAGTGTCTACATTAAATTTCACTCCTGCTGATGTAACTGCCCCACTATGCTGACTTAATAAGTCCAATTCCGCAAGAGGCATAGAGTCAATGTCGATGTAGTTAGGTCGACGCATTGTCACTGTAGACACTGCATTGCTTACATCAACTTTTATTGGCTTTCAGAAACTGTCCCACAGTGCCCCATACTGACAGCACATTTGGTATAAGCACTCCTGGTGAGGATGCTCACTGCCACTATAAGGAGCAAAGTGTAAACACGCACCAGCGATGTAATTACTGTAGCAGCTGTACCCTGATGTAAGTGAGGTCGACTTAATTTTGTAGCATAGACATGTCCGGTAACTCACCAAATAGGAAAGAAGCATTACATTAATGTAAAGTCCGGATTCCTACCAAAGATGCTAGGTCCTGCACAAGAACGTCCATTGAAACCAAATGAGCCATTGTGAAACATTAAAGGACAAAGACTTTGTGGATTGCTGCTCTTTCCCCCCCCCCCCGTCCATGAAGAGAAGTGTACAAGGACCTGTCCCATGAACTTGAACTATTGGGGAAGGGAATAAAAATTCCTGACCAGAAGAAACTGTGTCAACTGGGTCTCTATGCCGCTTGGACTTTGAGAGGGCAAGATTTCTAAGCATAAGCTCGGGATTGTCCGTGCTTGGCCTGGTTAGCCATAAAGGACTTAAAGAATTTGCTTATGATAGAAGCTTCTACCATCCTTTGAACTTAAGACTATAGCTCATTTATGTATGTGTGTTTACCTGCTTTAACCTTGTAATAAATTCTTTAATGTATTATAGGGTTGGCGTCAAGTGTTTTTTTGGGTGTAAGATCTAAGGTGCAATTGGCTTGGGATAAGTGACTGGTCCTTTGGGACTGGGAGTAACTTGAATATTATTGTGATTTTTGGTGTAAGGGCCCATGTATCACAAAGGCAGGCTTACCTGGCAACAGGGCTGGCTCCAGGCACCAGCCCACCAAGCTTGTGCTTGGGGCGGCACCTGGAGGGGGGTGGCGCAGTGTTCCGGCCGCCGGGGAGAGTAGGGCCACGGCCGGGGCTCGCCGCCCTCCCCCCGGCGCTCTGGCCGCCGGGGAGAGTGGAGCCCCGGCTGGGGCTTGCCGCCCTCCCCCCGGCACTCTGGCCGCTGGGGAGAGTGGAGCCCCAGCCGGGGCTCGCTGCCCTCCCCCCGGGGCTCCGGCCACCCTCCCCTGCTGTGCTGGGGGGCGGGCGGCCGGAGGCTTTTTTGCCTGGGGCGGCAAAAAAGCCAGAGCCGGCCCTGCCTGGCAATATAGACCAAAGTACCCAAGTGGACTCTCTGTGACTCTGTGTTAAGGCTGTTACAGTGCTTGAGGAGTCCATACTTGGTTGCTGAAATCTAAGTATAGATCTCCCAATCAGTTTGGGGTTTGTGCTCTGCTTCTTAACAATCTGCCTGAAGTTGCTACTCACACTCCCGAGCCGCTTCAAACAGCTTGAGAGTGTATAGTTCTTTTTCTTCTCTTTGGGGATGAAAGGGACTTACTTCAGGACAGTCCTGTTTTTGGTTGCCTGCTTCCTCACCCCAGTCCTCAAAAGGTAAGAGCACATGAGGCTATAGGCATTAATCCCTCAGCAAGTAGACATCTGTCAAGGAAGCTTAGCTGATTAACTGATTTAGCAAAGGATCAGTGATTTGATGTATTGGTTCTTTGACAGCCAGGTTAAGCTCTCGCCCTTCCAGCTGACCTATGCGTGCTGTTACATAGCAATTGTAGCACTGCCGTCAATAAAAAACAGCCTGCCTGTTTCTCCCACATTTCTCTCCTGCCAAGAACATAAAAATCTGGAGAGCAGAAGGTGCTGTTGACAGAAGTGAAGTAGGACAGCTCTGATGAATGAGGGGCTGAGTCAGTAATTTAAATGCATGCTTTGGCTGCAGAATGCTCTGTGAGTATCCAAGCGCTTTCAGTTATTAGTAGGAGATTAACTGAAATTTATCTAATGTTGTGGCAAAGCTATCTACCTAACAATTTAGAAAACTTACACCAGTCCTGCAGGCCTGGTACATCTTAATAAGTGTAATAACATTACTCACACTTTATCAGCCATTAAGTTTCTGTGGGAAATGGTTCTCTGGCAACTTATATATATTTTTACATGTAAAGTCATTTTTATGGTATGAGATGTACCAAACATTGAAAGGAAAATACTTAGTATTGCTGTACAGGACCAGAGCATGCCTTAGGTCCTTTGTGTCTAGAACCATTAGGTGCTCACTCTTGCCATCTTTATCCTATATATATTTTAAAATTTTCAACAATATGCAATAAGCTCCATATTCTCAATTCTAAACGGTCAGAAATTATATTAAATAATAACATTCAATAAAATTACACATTCCCAGAAAGATATTAACAAATTGGAGGAAATTTAAGGAGGAGAACAAAAATGATCAGGTCTGAAGGAAGTGATTTAACCTTTCCTCCTAGAAGAGCAAAATGTGTATAATGTGACTAAGCAACATTTTACTCTTAAAATATTTGCAGATGGTTAATAGCAAAGATAAAATATTATTTTGTATTATTAGTATTAGCATTATTTAGTATGTTAATCTGCACCAGAGAGTTGTAAATCCTAGTATACCATTAGTGTATTGTGTATTAACTGGATTTGTGGACACTGCTGGCACCTACTAAACCTTCCCTAGTGTATGTTAAGGTAGTTCTGTGAAGAACTACACTAACGTGCACTAGGGAGCTTTTTATATGTGCCAGCAGGGTCCACAAAGGCCAGTAAGTCCATGACCTGCTCCAAAATTTACACCCACTGGTGTGGACTAATGCACCATGTAGACAAGGCCTTAGCTGATCTAATAGGTCTTTCCATCTCTGTCTGCTATAATTGTATTAGACAAGTATTCTCTGAATTATTTTACAAAGTTAGGATAAATTCACAACCTGAATAAAGTGGAATCCTCATACTAATGTATTAGCGCCCCTCTCTGACTCTGGGAATAGTAGAATAATACACATACTGGTCCCATGATTTTTTGCATTTACAACCCCTGGGTGTAGAAGGATCATGACACCAGCATACTAATTCCTGGATTCATATTTCCTACCTGGCTATAAAATCATGCACAAGCCCACCAGGGCTGGGATCCATACTTTTTACTTCTGTGTGCAGAAGGATACACATACTAATTCCACTATTTTAAATGTTGAGCTTTAAAGTCACAATTTTCTTACCCATTATCTGCATGGTAATAGCAACCTTATCATTCATGTTTTCTATCTGAACTTCCACTTCATATGTCCCTGAGTGGTGATGCTCAGCCTTTCGAATGAACAGGATAGTATCTGTGGTGCTGTTCCGAATTCCCACCTCTTTGGCGTCTAGTGTTTGACCATCTTTTGTCCAAGTGACTTTGGGTCTAGGTTTACCCTGCAGGAAGAAAAGAGCATGTTTATTCTCTGGACAACAACAGATTTGCTTTTTTCAGGGTCTTTTTTTTGGTCTAGAAAAATAGAAAAATTAATTTCAGATGCTGTACTGATAGATGAACGTATGATTCTTTGGCTGCTTCCCCATTTCCTGGGCCCCTCCAGAGATTTCTCTTCCATTCTCATGGATCATAGCACCATGTTCTGACTGGGCCATGGAAATATAATACCCCCATTTTAACAAAAGTCATTCTGGGAACAAACACTGACAAAAGGCTGAAGTTACCTTCTCCCTTTAGATTCATTAGAAGAGCTAGCTATCTCAATGCCCCTTTTCTTTAGAGGATGAGGATATTGAGAGCATGTGGAAGATGAACAACAGAAACCTCCATGTGCTTTCTGTTGAGGCTGTTACTCCAGCTACTGTTCCCCCCCCGCCAGTCCCTGACTCCCATCTCCAGTTGCTCTCAAGGCCTTCCAGAAGCTGTTGCCCAGAACTGCAGCATCCTTGGATCTAGAATTTTGGTAGTGCAGGACAAATCACATAAACTGTTTGATATACTTCGCTCCAAACAGTCAGGCACAGTGGCTGTGCCCATAAATGAAGACATTCTGGAGCCAATAAAAGATCTATAACTTACACCTCCATTAATATCAGCCACTTCCAAGACAGCTGATATTTAGCCCCTCAAAAGTGCTTTGGGTGCTTTTTTGTTTTAAATCCTACATTGGGGTTCTTATTGTTTCTGCAGTTTAAGAAACATCAAACAATTTGGCCCTCCAAAGTACATCTCTAGAAATAAAAATTCCAGGTGCCTAGAACTTCTGGGCAGGAACCCATATTTATTAGGCACATTACAATCCACAGTTCTACCAGGTTTGCTGGTTAACTGATTTATTCACCTGGGACAAACTGGTTGCCTCTTCTTGATCAGCTGCTTGAGGACACCAGAAATCAGTCAAAAAAAGAGTCTCACAAGGACAGTTGGTGGTAAAGCACTCTGTCAAGCTGTCTGAAGTGGCTCACGACCATGTGTGCCAACCTCATGGCAGTCTGTCAAGAACCAGGGCACAAACCCCCAACTGGTTGTGTGTTCTATAATTAGATTTCACCAATGAAGTATGAGGTGTGAACTCCTCAAGCACTATACCAGACTTAACATGGAGTGAGACAGTTGTCTTAGGCACTGTGGTCTATCTTGCAACCCAGGCAAGCCTACTTTGTGATAGATGTTCCCTTACACCAAAAATCACATCAATAGTCAGGTTACTTCCAGTCCCAAAGGATCAGTCACTTACCCTAGGTCATTTGTACCTCAGATCTCAAACCAAAGACAATGCTTGTAGCCAATCCTATAATAAACTAACTACAAATTTATTAACTAGGAGAAAAATGAGTTATTTATGAGGTTAAAGCAAGTATTCATACACATATTAATGAATTACAGTCTTGGGTTTTAAAAGGTATAGAAGCTGCTGTAATATGCAACCTCTAGACGTCTTCTAGGGCTAACCCAAGCTAAACAGCTTGAGGATCACTTGCTTAAGTTTAGAAATACTGCCCTCTCCAAATTCCAAGCAGTATAGTGATGCAGTTCCTTCTGGTCAGGGATATTTATTCCCTTCCCCCAGAGTTCAATGTGTGATGGAATGAGGGTTTGTGCATGTCCCCTCTTCATGGGTGTGGGGGGAACAAAGTCTTTTGTTCCCTGATGTTCCACAGTCGTTTCTCTGGTGCCCTGCCCAACAAAAGGCATGCGGAGATGATAACTCTAATGGTAAACTAATATTTCACACATGGTAATGCTTCTCTCCTGATTGTGAGGTTTCCAGCTTCATAGCAAACATTTGTATATTTAGGATGACCAGATGTCCCGATTTTATAGGGACAGTCCCGATTTTTGGGTCTTATATAGGCTCCTATTACCCCTCCACCCCGTCCCGATTTTTCACATTTGCGGTCTGGTCACCTTACATATATTACCTTATAATGTGGGATACAGATATTATAAGTGATATTAGTGCATGCAGCAACTCACAAGCATTTCATAAAGTCCAAACACTAAACACATTCTTAGAAACTTAACATCTATTCTAAAAATGCTAACACACTGGTTTCCAGCTATGCATTTGAAAGTGTTCAGTGAGGCTTAAGGGTGTTGGCATGAGCTGGTACCTGGTCTGCCAACATCACATACTCCTTTCAGGCAGCAGTGAATTCGTCTGACAAGCTGCCCTCTCATTTGCCATTGCAGTAACTATGGAAAGATTCTCTGAGCTACAGTCCTCCAGACTTCTCAAGATGCTGCAGAAGCACCATTGAGGAGTTGTGCTTTGAAAGTCCTGAGGTCTTTAAATCAAGATGATTCTCTGCTTCCTCTGAGAGACTCAAGAGCATCCTCTAGGTTTTCTTTGCCACTACAAAGAAGTTCTCTTTTAGATACAAATACCTTCAGGCAAAGATCTGGCCAGAAACTATACACCTGCTGAGCCACCTGGAAAGTGACCATGCTATTCTAGGAATAGGAGCTTTACTCTGTCCTCTGGATCATTAGCTGTTGCCAGCAGTAAGTTTGATGGTCAGGTTGAGAGCCTTGGACTAGACCATTTTACAGATCTCTTCCATTTTCTTCCCCATTTTGCAATGCCTTATTTCTTCTTGCCATGGAATAGAATCACCTCAGACCAGTGGATTCTCAAAGTACAAGACGAGGTTTATTCATCCTATTCCAGTCCATAGCTGCCTCCCTCCCTCTCCATCCCATTTCAGGGACCCTTCTGAGGATAAATTTGAAAGAAAAAGTGGCCTCTTCTCTTCAACTGGGGGCCATAGAAAAAGTTTAAAACAACTTATATGAAAAAGGATTCTATTCCTGTTAGTTTCTCATTCTCAAAAGGAAGGGAGGATTAAGTCTTATCGTGGATTTTAGGCATTTGGTATACTTTTTTACTCATCTTAAGTTCTTACTGTCCATCCTCCTCTACCTAGATCTGCAGGACTGGTTCACTGCTCTCAGTTTTAAGGACACATATTTCCACACTACCATCTATCTGTTTCATAGGAAGTATCTCCGTTTCATACAATCAACAGTATCAATATTGGATCTTTCCTTTGGTCATATCACAGCTCCAAAGGTCTTCACCAAATGCTCAACACTAATAACAGTCCATTTCAGAAGAGTGGGAGTCCACATATATCCCTGGTGATTTAAGGCAAATCTTTTCAGGATGCTTCATCAGTTCAGGAAATTGTTCCAGTTTCTGGGACTCTGAGATTACCAAAATCAACACTCATGCTTACTGAAATATTGGAGTTCAGAGGCACAGCCTTAAATTCATACCTAGCCAGTGGATTAGCCTGAACATCATCTCCAATACTCAAATATGCCCATAACAAGACAGGTAGGGCATGTGAAGGCTTCTGGATCATATGGCTTCATGCATCTATGTGACACCTCTGCTCCCCGCCTTCTTAGAGTTGGTAGGGCTACTCCCACCTTTTCAAGTTCTCTGTGTGTGTGTGTGTGTGTGTGTGTGTGTGTGTATATATCTCCTTACTATATGTTCCATTCTATGCATCCGATGAAGTGGGCTGTAGCCCACAAAAGCTTATGCTCAAATAAATTTTAGTCTCTAAGGTGCCACAAGTACTCCTGTTCTTTTTAAAGGGGGACTGTGTTCCACCTTCACAAAGATAACATGGACAGTCAAGTAATTGGTTCATTAAAGTACTTTCATCTTTGTTCCAATGGACAAACCAGAGTTTGTATGCAAAGTGTCCCATTTCACTCACTAGTGCCGCAGAGGGAAGGGGTGCCAGTTGCCTTCACCCAAATATGAGGTGTTTATCCATGATACTTAAGGCACAAAGAATCCTCTCTACACCTAAAAGTTCTGGAGCTCAGAGCAATCCAGTTTAACTTGCAAATCTTTCTTTCCTCAGTTGAATTTTATCACTCTCAAGATCTTCGCATATAATACCGCTGCCATGGATTATGTTAACTGGCAAGGTGGGGACTTGTTTAAAGAAACTTATAACTTTAAGGAAAACAATTACCTTTTGAACTGAAACATCTCCTATTTATTATTTACCAAAACATTTAGGGCCAAGTCCTTGGCTGGTTTTTCAACCTGTTTGCAAAATGGAATAGCTCAAAGGGACTAGAGGAGGCAATAGATCGGTCCCTAATTTTTTTCGGTAAAGAACAGCCATGAGAAATTTTAGCAGCTTTTTCTGAAAGTATACCTAGCTCAAAATAGAAACTTACTATGGAAGTGTTCTCTTAAATCTAACCTTGCAATTGCTGTCATTTTAGTATGGTTGTGTAGGCACTTTTATTATAACTCCTTATTTAAGATGCTATAGTGACTAATGAAATAGGGCAAATGTTTGCACTCTTGGTTTTCATATCCTGATACTCTTATTTATAGACTGTGAAAAGCATGAACCCATAGAAAGCATGTTCCTAATTCATATCCCAGAGGATTGGATTTCTGTAATGAGCAATATCTAATCTTGGAGGGAACAGTGAGAGGCAGAGTAGGTGAATGGCACACCAGAAGAGCGTCAGGGCCTTTACTGGAGGGAGACGGAAAAGTGATTTTTTTTTTAACAATGTTTTTTAGCTACTAGCATTCACAGATATATGATGGGCAGGAAGGCAGTTAAGGAATACCTTGAGTCCCCACTAATAGCAAATAATACTCCTTCTAGAACCTGTCTAGTTAATTTTGGAAAGATTACAGTGCTCTATAAGAAAAGACATGGTCTACTAATTACTCGGCTTTTGCCCTTCTCTAGCATTTTTCATCTAAGGATTTCAGATTTCTTTAAAAACATTAATTCAGCCTCATAATACCCTTATAAGGTAGCTGAATTGTAGAATTCACGTGTTACAGATGGGTAAGGCTGCAATTTTGTCACGGAAGTCGTGGATTCCATGACTTTCTGAAACCTCTATGACTTCCGCAGCTGCAGCAACTGGTGCGGCTGACCCCAGG